GTGTACTTTATAATTGCTAAATCTAAAATATATAATAAGAAAATCATAGTAACACATGCAACATACATGTATAGAAATTTTTACTGTTTACTTTTTTTAATTTAATGTTTATTTTAATCAACCCATATAAGAGAGAAATGGTGGAGAGAAAAAGAGGGGATGGCCCCTTATTTATCTTTCTTTTCTTTAATGGAAAGATTATAAAATTTAGTGTTAGTAAAATTCCGAATAGTTCCTGATTAATCTCTAATTAGTCTCTAAGTGCTACTTGGTCGACTAGAAGGCGTTAAGCGATTAATTTCTGTCTAGACAGTGAGTGAAGCTGTAGAAGCCGATGAACTTTAACAATTTAAAAAAGTTATATTTTAGAAAAAACTATTAAATAAATTATTAGTGTTGTATTAATCATATTAACTTAGTTTGTTATGTTATTATTGGTATTTACTAAGTTTGTTATGATAATAGTCATATTTATTTATTTTAAATTTAACAAATTTATAATTAAGGGTCTCCGATTAATCTCTTAACTACAGTCGAACGACTAGCTACCGTCGAACGTTTTCTACAACCTTGATAAAATATATAAAAATAAAATAATTAAAAAATAAAGTAAATTAAAATGGTATAAAAGTTATTTACACTAAAAGTACCGACCAGTAAATGAAACTTGTGCATCAAATGCGTAAGGGATTTAGATAGTTATATTTAATCAGAAAAAAAAATAATGTAAGAGATATATTAATCATTTTACATGCTTCTTAAGGAGGTCAGGGAAAATACCACAAATAGACAAAAAATGGGGGTGAATTTCTAAATGTAGTCATAAAACAAGATTTTTCCAGCTATAGACATACATTCCGCGGAAGACCCTCCGCGGACCTCTACGGAATGACGTCATCTCCGCGGACCACTCGAAAGTCTGATTTTTTAACGTTTAAAAGAGTGATCCGCGTAGGCCCTCTGCGGATACAATAACACCTCCGCGGAGTGAGTTGTTTGGAGGTCATAAATACCTCCGCGGAGATGGTGACGAGGAGCTCCGCGGAGAGAGTAATGTCTCCGCGGAATGGGTGGTTGGAACGGATTTTAGACGGTTTCTTGATACAAAGTGTTCTTTTTCATATTTTTAGCTCCATTTGGTCGATAGATCGGTACTTTTCATTTGATTTTCAAAAAAAAAATATGAGTTTTGTTATTTTATGTACTGGGGGTTTTTGGCAGATAAGTAATGGGATTAACACTTACGTTAGACCAAAGTTTAACAACTTAGGTTTACTGCTTCCGCCAAATTTTGATCGTCGAATATTGTTTGATTTGGTCAAAAGTAAGGCTAATGTGTTCAATAGTAATATATCATTGTCATTTCAACACCCGGTTCATGGGTATGTTATGAATATTTTAGACGAAGCAGATGTTCATCAACTCAGAAATGTAATTTCTGAAACAAAAAGAGATTGTGCATTTGTATTTAGAGGTGTTTCAGGGATTGGTCGAACAGACAGAAGCGGTTCAGAAAGTTGTACCATACAATGTTGAAAACGTTGTATCTGATAATGTTGAAGAGTGTCCAGAAGAAGAAACTGTGGCAGTGAATACGGTTGAAGAAAAAAATTTATATAAGTTTGGAAGACTGACTGACAAAACTTTGTCAGACGGTGAAGAGTCAAATGAAGGATGGTCAGAAGATGAGTTCACACACGGGTAAAAAGCTTCAGACATATTTTACGGTATGCCTCCCATACCTGATTGTCCTGATCCTATTGTTGAACCCGGACCATTTCACAATTTAGGTCCAAATGATGATATGTTTGTTCGTCAAACATATGATAACAAACAATAACTAATATTTGCTTTGAGACTTAAAGCAACCAGAGAAAAGTTTCAGTTTAAGACCAAACATTCTAACAAAAATCGTTATGAGGTATATTGTGAAATTGAGAACTGTTGTTGGCGTTTATATGCAAAACGCCTTAATCCCACTGATGAATTTGAAATTAGGACTTTCAACAACGTGCACACATGTTCGTCATTACAGATACACCCTAATCATAAGCATGCTAAAAAAAAGTGATGGGTACTATATTGCATGAGATTATGGGAAAAACTCGTTCCAAGGTTTGGAGGCCTAATGAAATATCAAGGGATTTGAATGCTTTGCTGGAAATCAATGTAGATTACAAACAAGCTTGGCGTGCAAAACAATATGCTATGGAACTGTTGTTGGGATCCTCTGAAGAATGTTTTTCCAAACTTCCTATTTATTTTCACAATTTGAAGAGGCATAATCCCGGTACAGTGGCCTATATTCAAACAGATTCTGAAGATTGTTTCGAGTGTTGTTTTTATGCCATTGGGAGCACGGTAAATACAAAAAACTTGTTGTTATTTAATATATAATTTTTTTTAAAAAAACTATAGAGTGTTTATGTGTTCCATTTTAATATATTGCAGATACGAGCGTTCAAACGTTTTTGTCGTAAAGTTATAATTATGGATGGTGCCCATTTGAAGGGTGATTTTAAGGGAACCATATTGCATGCAGTAGCTATGGATGGGAACAACCAGATACTGCCCCTTGCGCACGGAATATGCAAAAAAGAGAGCGGTCTTACTTGGACATGGTTTCTTGAAAAGTTGTATGAATGTGTTGGTGATTGTCAAGAATTGACTTTTGTAACTGATAGGGCCGATGCAATTCGAGTTAGTATTGAAAATGTTTTCCCACATGCTCATCATGGCTTGTGTGCTTTTCATCTACTAGGAAACATAGTACACAGGTTTGGGAAAAATGATAAAACAAAAGTGTTGTTTTGGAGGCTTGTGAAAGCTTACAAAAGAAATGTTTTTGAAGAATTATGGTATAGATTTAGTTCTACTAGGCCGCAAGTAGCAGCGTATCTAAATGAAATTCCCCGTGCTAAGTGGACTAGAGCATATTCGCTGTCGAAACGGTACGATTACATGACCTCGAACAGTGCAGAGTCCATGAATGTTTTATCTGTAGATGCAAGGAAGATGCCTATAATACCCCTTCTTGAGTTCTTCCGTCGTCTTTCACAGGAATGGTGTAACAAGCGTCGCATCGAAGGAGGTATGAATTTAATTTGGACTTTAATTAGGTCGAATAATAAGTTAATTATATATATCTTCTTTACAGGGAAACGTTCAACAGTGCTAACCGAGTGGGCTGAAAAAGTAGTTAGTAAAAATGAAGAGCGTACGACAGGATGGTCCGTTTCTGGTGTTTCAGATGCAATATATCAAGTTCATGATTTCAAACATGGTGGCATAGTTGATCTGAGGCAAGAGACTTGTACATGCAAATATTGGGAAGGAACTGGGTTGCCTTGTGGTCATGTCATAATGGTCTTGAAGCACTTGAAAAAAACTAACTTCGGACATCTGGCTATAGATGCTTACAAAACGGAAACGTACCGAAGTACGTATGAGGAGCCGGTTTACCCCCTTCCAGAACTGTGTGATTGGGAGTTTCCTGCTGAGATGATGGTTGTTAAACCCGCGATAATGGATACACGTCAAGCTGGTAGACCGAGAAACAGAAATCGTATCCCGTCACAAGGTGAGGAACCTATAGTAAGAAGGTGTAGTGGATGTGATAGTACAACACATAATGCAGCGACTTGTCCTGCATTGGTCCCAAAGAAACAAAAAAAGGCTACAAAAAGTAGTGCAGCATCAGGTAGTAACACAAAAGGGAAAGAGAAAGGGACAGAAGGGACTCAGGAGACGCTAGAGACGCACGGGACACAAGAGACGCGTTGGACGAGTGGGACGCAGAGAGAAGACTATTGTTCAACGTTTGATTTGAATGATTGATGTTGTATTTATAATTAATTATACTTTGTTTTAGAGGACATTAATTTGTGTACTTTGAAATGGTGTGTTTATTTTAAAGATGATGGGTAATATTATGATTATATTAGTGTATAATTACTAGTAGAATAATAACTAATACTCGAAGATAATACATTCAACAAACCAGAAACATATAGTAAACGTACAACAACAGTAATTAACTTAAGGGAATTGCAAAGGATAATTTTCTTTCTCCATTGTTATGTAGTCGTCCCTAATTCTTATTTTATCTTCCATACGGTCCTTTTGGCTACCAAGTTCTATCATTTCTGCATCCTTGTCAGCAAGCCATTTTTCAGACAGTTTGATATTCTTCTTAGTTTTTTTATCCATTCCTTATGATCTTTGATTTTTTTTTTAGTAATCGTCATCCTTCCTCAACCTCTTTGCACTCCGCCGCAATGACGTCACGACGTTTAGTGAGAGCTCGAGATGAGTCTTTATCTTTTTTTTGTTGTTCTTCAGCCCATTGTAGTTGTTGCAAAGTATCCTCCGACATATACGGCTCTCTTAAATTTGGTGATGGGGCAAGAAAAGGGTCAATCGGATCACAATAGAAACAATCAACTTCGTTGCACGAGCAAATATACAAAGTTGAAGATGAACTCATTTTAAATTTAAAAAAAATTTATAACTCTATACCAAAAATCCAACGACCATCCATGACTATATATAGTCCCTTCCACTCCGCAGAGAACTGTTGTCAGTCCGCAGAGCTTTTTGTCAGTCCGCAATAATGTTTGTCAGTCCGCAGAGCTGTTTGGTACAATCGATGCTACAATTATGAGAAAATTATGAGAAAATGCGATGCTCTGATGTTGATGATGAAGAACTTCTTGAATACGTGAACGGATATTACCTGTGCCAGTTTGATGAAACTGAGTTCGAGTATACGGACGTTTGGAATCTGGTTAGAAATAAACCCTTTTTCATGTAGACGACTCTTTTATTCGTAATGTTCTATGTAATGTTTGTTAGTCGTTCATCTTTTATTTGCAATGTTTTCTGTAATGTTATTATGTTATTTCAAATGTTTGTTTTGTTTTTAATGTATCGTAATATATGTTGGTGAATTATGTTTCAAAAAATATATGATACAAAAGTTGTTTATATTAAACAAAACTACTAAAAACAAGTATTTCATAATAATGTATACAAACTTCCAAACATCAAGTTATTTAGTATCCCAAATAATATTTGCCATCCTATTTCTGTAGAGAAATCCCGCATCTCTACATGGCTTATCACTCTTCACCGGTACCCCCGAAGCAATCATTTCCATATACATGCTTACGAATACTCCACAATCCCCTCTATTAGTAATATATTATTGTTGTGGCGCGTCTACAATATCAATAAACTCCACAACTGCGTTGTCTTTGTGTCCATCGGGGAAATCCTTCCAGTAGTCAATCGCATCTAGCTCTTCGATTATACTATCCCCAAAACTTTTGAATTCTCCACCAGTCAAGTACGTTGTGAAGTAATTCATACATCGTGCTGAATCATAAATGTGTACTTTCCAAATATCTAAATGTAGCACTGCCAAAAACCAATGGGCATGAGGAACGTTTATGGAGAATAGAACCTGCAAACAAAAACAAATTTAATAGTCATTAATTCGTTTCCTATATAAAATAAATAATTAATAAACTTAACTAACCATATCCACATCCTTCCATTTAGGATGGCCTCCGACACCATTTGCAATATTCCTAAGAAAATATGTTTTTCCATTTTGCAAATTAAGTTCTTGAGGGAATATCGTCCACCTTGCGTTCGTCGGCCGTCTTTCCATGAGCAAGGCACTCCATATCATAATATGTTGTACATTTTAAGATAAAAATGTTACAGTTTTTTATATAAATTATCGTCTAAAAATGTAGTTAAAATTTATATTTAACGAATGTTACCGAAGAAATTAACCACCCAGCGTCAGTAACTGCAAGTAACCTCGACCAAAACTCCACATCCAGTGTGAGCATATGCAGCCTATGTTTAGTGTTCAGGTTGGAAGAGATACTATTCCATTCTTTCCAAAAAGTCAACGTACTGGCAGCTTCAACACTGTCGAGCAGGAGATGATTTGAAACACCATTACTCTCTTCATTCACAATGTCTTCATTTGCTTTTTCAGGACTCTTCACCACTTTTTTTTTCTTTGCTTTGGTGATTTTCTTCAATTTTGGTTTGGATTGCATCTAAAAAATTATCATGTTAAATAATTATCAATACGTTAATATTTAAAAAATATATTGTAGCACCTGGTTCCTGGTATGTATTTCATTTATGTAATTTTACATTTTTGGCCTGGGACTCGGCGAGTTGATGGCCCAACTCGCCGAGTAGAAGCGGGATAGAACGCGGGGTTTTAGTATGGGACTCGTCGAGTCGGATCCTGGACTCGACGAGTAGGCTCTGTCTGGACAAAAACCCTAATCTGAGGGTTTGCACCCTATTTAATCATCTCATTCGGCCCCCACTCGTCCCTATTGCTCCCAAAAACCCTCCCTAGCAAACCCTAAGTGTTTTGGTGCAAGATTCAAGGCTTTTGAGTGATTTTGTGGATTTTGATCACAAGGAAGAAGGAAGAGCATAGAAGGATCAAGAGGAGACTGAAGGATTCGAGCTTGGTGCATCATTTGTTGTTCTCAGAAGGTATAAAGTCTATACCTTGCTTGTTCTTTTGTTAGATCCCTTTTTGGGGAGATTTAGGGATTTTTTAAGTCATTCTTGGTAGCCAACCATGATTGCAAGCATGGTTGGGGGTTGAGGCTTCGGATCTAGGTCCATGGAAGGGTCACAAGGTAGTTAGGGGTTGCTTTTGCACCCATGGAAGGCCCCATGCATCTTAAGAGCTTCTTTTTAGGCATTTTAGGCTCAAAGTCCCATGCGTGCACGTAAAGTTTGTAACTTTACATGCTAGATTGAATTTAGCGACCTAGATCTATCATTTGGACAAGAGTTCCACTCCAGGAAATCGGAGAAATAAGACTTGGACGGAATCGACTCGGCGAGTCGTTCTTGGGACTCGGCGAGTCCAAGGTTAGACTCCTCTTTTTCTGTTATGGTTCGTGGGAACCAGTTGAGTGAAAGAAAGGTTTTAGAGGGTCCGAGGGAGTGACCCAAACGTATTGGGATAAGCCATAGTCCTGGAGTTTATAGGACTCGACGAGTGCACGAGCAAACTCGGCGAGTTGAGGACAGGACGTGATCTTAGGATGAAGATGGACTCGACGAGTGTTCATACCGCTCGGCGAGTCAGATGAAGGTTCATCTGAGGTTGTGTTAGAAGGAGAACTCGTCGAGTCATTGCTAAACTCGACGAGTAGGGACGTGGAGGAGGACAGTTGAAGAGATAGGGACTCGACGAGTTGACGACCCAACTCGGCGAGTTGGGTCAACTGGAAGTTGACTTTGACTTTGACTTGGACTTGGTCTGGGGTAAAATAGTCATTTTACCCTAAGGGTAGATATTAGATTCTGATTAGGTGTTTTGTGGGGATTATAGCCGGAGGATTTCCGGAGCAGCAGCAGCAGCAGTCAGAGATTCCCCGCACAGATTATCAGCAGCTACTCGTTTGAGGTGAGTTACCTTCCAGTAGCGGTGGGTCTACGGCCATAATGTCGGCCCACCAGTAGGAGTTGTATGTTAAGATGATTGTCTTGTGATATCATCTAGTTTTGCTACTACCTGTTATGTTATATGCTGGCATGATATGTTCGGTTGTTAGGACAGAAGGGTAGGTCAGACATCCCAGATATGTCTGACAGTATGTGATGATATGTTTATGTGCTGGCATGATATGTTATATGTGATAGTGGTAGTAGGAGGGGAATAGTCCCCAAGTTCGGTTGTTAGGACCGAAGGGTAGTTCGGACACCCCAGATATGCCCGATAGTATGTTTATGTTATGATATATGTGATAGTAGCAGTAGGGGGTGGAGTAGTCCCCGAGGGTCGGTTGTTAGGACCGACGGGTAGGTCAGCACCCCAGAATGGCTTGACATGGGTAGGTCAGCACCCCAGAATGGCTTGACACGGGTAGGTCGGCACCCCAGAATTGCCCGGCAGTATGTATGCTATGTGATTGTATGGTATGTGGTACGATGGGGGAACTCACTAAGCTTCGTGCTTACAGTTTACAGTTTTGGTTTCAGGTACCTCTTCAGCGAAGGGGAAAGAGCTGGCGAGGTAGCGGCACATCATACACACACGCATTGATCTTCCGCACTTGAGATATTCTGGGATTGTACTCTGACATGTTACTATTATATGTTTTGGGTTTTCAAACATGATACATTGACTCACAAAATGATATATTGTTACGCAGTTTTCTTATGAGTGTTTTTATAATCCGTTAATTAAAATGAAATTTTTGGACTCGAAATTTGGGATGTTACATATACCAAATTTAAAATATGAGTTTTGTACCACTGTGAACGGAGTCCGCTGATATCATTGAACACCCCTCTTTCGTTGCAGCCTAACAATAGGAGTCATTTCTTTTGTGTGATGTTCACCCACGTCCAATGACGGCTCAACATGCGTAGGTGTAGACTCAATTCCCCCTCCAAACCATGACTACCTATATTATCATAGTCAAAATGTGTATCATGGTAATATTTTTCTTCCTCCTCTTCATTTATCATCTCTTCCTCCTCTCGAAACCTTCTGTCTGGTTTAAAATTTATGTCGGGTTCATCTTTTTTCTGTAATACACGGTCTACTTTAGAACTTAAGGCAGCCACAACGCCTAATAGACGCTTCACTAATGCCTTTGTGCTCGTCTTCTTCTTCTTTACCAATCTTGATGTGTCGTGTGACATATAACTTGTTTCTGTTTCAAGATGTTGCGAGGAAGAAGCATTTGTGGCAGATTCAGTCGAAGATGTTTGTATTTCGGACTTGTACATCCTTCTTCGAGCAGGCGAGGCAACAGGAGGTGGACTATTTCGGACAGGAATATGTTGTCGTGGGGGAGACTCTACAGGGTTAAGAGTCCAATTGACATAACGAACATAAAACGGAAACATCAGCTCCTCCGGGTTTGCCTCGACATTAATAGGTTGGTTGTTAGACTGCAAAAATCAGATTGTTAGTTTAACATGAAAATAATTTGGAATTTGTAAATATAGATGATTGTTAATATAAAAACCACACCACAGACACGTTCATTATTCGACAACATTGAACCCAATTCAACGGTGTTTTACTTCTCCACGCCCTCATCCGTGGCAATTCTGTCGGCGTGCGTATATAAAACTTGGTTGCCTCTGGGAACGTCTCCAAAATCCATATCTATGAAAAAAATGTAAGTATCGTTCTATTATACTGTAAAAGTCATGATACAAACTTATTATATAATACAAAACGAAGTTCAAATTTTTATAGTATAAAAAACTAAACAATGATAACTATTAAAATGCATTAGAAACTAACCTTAAACGGAAGCATAAAATCGGGAACGGTATACTTGTGTACTTTCTTCGATTCGGGATTGGCCTGCTTGAATTCTCTAAACTCTTCTATTTTCTTAAACATTTCACGCATCATACGTGAAGTATATTTCCAGAAATACGTACCCCATGCAAACCTGCAATTTTCAATTTATTTATTATAATTAGTGCATTGCATATTACTGTTGCAAGCTTGTATACCTGTTCCAATCATCTATATTATCTGTTTTAAATGTAATACCTGTTCCAATCATCTATATTATCAGTAAGCTTGTATACTGCTGCAGGAATGCTCGTTTTAACGTCCCATCCGTGTAGACCCTTCAACATAAAAACAAGTTGGATAAGCATCACAGCATCTTCATCTTGTAGTGCCAAATAATTCGGGGACATAATTAAGTCTTCTAAATCTTTCAGCCGCAAACGTGCATCAGAAATATCTGGGAACAACCGAGCACGGAGATTTGAATTTGACTGGCCCTTTTCGTCATGGAGTAAATCCACATAAAGACCAACTTTTAAACCACAAATAAGAATATATTCAGTTTCACCAAAACTCAACTGGATCCCCTCTACATCAAACAGAAACCTCCCCATTTCAAATATTTGTTGACACATTACTTCGTGCAACATCATCATATGCACAAGTAAGGGATCACCATGTGGGATATGCATTCCTAAGAATATTCCAAAGGGGGAAGCTTCGAATAATACTCGTTGTGATTGTGTTAGGCGCGGAAAATAGTCTTTATTGATAGTCCCCACCACGCCTTTCAAAGTTAAATCCGCTTTTTGATTGAGATCTTCATGCTACACAACAAAAAAAATAAAAAATATTATTTCATTTAAAACATTATTAATTGAAAATAAAAAAAAAGTATTATTCCATTATGAAATAAATAGCAACATACTTAAAAGTAGAAAAAAAAATTGTGCAAAAACCATCACTCCGCGGAGGCTAGAGGTCATTCCGCGGAGGCCTCTCTGCGGAGTGACATCTAGCTTACGCAGAGGGCTGCAGTGTTGGATTATAACATTCCGCGGAGGAAACACATCACTCCGCGGAGAAGCCTCTGCGGACTGACGTCCCCCTCTGCGGAATGGATCATCCCCAAAAACGTATATGTGATTGTAAACCTAAAAATCCTAAATCTGTATACATATTCAATGTAATCAAATGGGTTTTCCTCTAATTTGAATCATATTCGACATTTTCGACATTAATAATTAGATGAGAATGTGAGAAATACCCGGGAACCGTATCCATCGGCCATAACATCGGGAAATTCGGGGTCCATCGGTGACGGAAAGAGCTCTGCGACTCGATTTCGCCGGAGTTAAGTCGTCGCCGGAGTTGAAGTCGTCGCCGGATTTTAAGTCTTTGATCAAAGCCCGGAGGAGCCGATGCGGAGTGAGGAAGAAAAACGGGGACCAAAAGAGGACCCCTTCGTTTTTCTCAAAAAAAAATATGGTGGAAATTACGAATTTACCCCCTCTTCGTGGAGATTTCATGGTTCCGCGGAGGTCCGCGGAGGGTCCTCCGCAGAATGTGTGTCTATATCTGGAAAAAAACTTTTTTTATGACTAAATTTATAAATTCACCACATTTTTTGTCTATTTAAGGTATTTTCCCTTTCAAGTTTGACGGAGGGACCTTGGGTACAATTTTTAAAATCACTGTTTTCAAACTATCAATTTTTTTTTTTAATTTAGACTAAAGATGTAATATACAAACCAAAGGGACAATTTCTATAATTTACTCTCACTCTCTCAATCACTATATATGTATACTTTTTTGACTTGTGCAATCACGTCAAGTCGTCAAGGCATTGAAGTTCCTCCGCTTTTTGTTTAGAATTCTGAGTAACGATGAAGTCCACCGGAGAAGAAGCTACTGGTCAAAAGGCAGTTTCATCGATTTCAATCGAAATCAAGACTCCAAAGCGTACGACTTCCATCCAGCGTCGAAATTCATACCCACGAAAGAAAGAGGATGTGACGTCTTCTAGGGTTCAAGAAACGCTTGAAGATAAAAGAAGTGTTTACAAGAACAAATTTTCTTTAGATAGAGAATTTAATGATCAAAGGGTGCTTCATGATGATGTTGCCTCCACCGCTGATCTTGTCAAAACCAGAAAACCACCCATATCCAATAAACTCAAGATAAGGCTACCACGTCGACAGGAAATAAGAGATTATCACGAGGGTCGTGTTCATGGTGATCAGGTCGAATCGAAACGCAAGATCGTATCACCTAACAGTACCCCTATCGGAAGCGAAGGTGGCGGATCTGAGAAGGTGGCCGATCAGACAAGTTCTTTATCTGGGCGGAATGTAAAAGGTGGCCGGAGAGGGCGTTCGGCATTACAAGTACCGGTGGCGGTGGCGGAGGCGGAGGTGCGGGAAGATGATGAGGATATGATAAAAGCTGCTGAAACTCTCTTGATGATGCGCCGTGATCGTCGTTCTATGGCGGAATCAACCGGCCGCAATAGTAAGTGCCTCGGTTTTGATCTGAATGAGCCTCCTCCAATGTCCCCGGAAGATGAAGCTAATCGAGGTTTGATTTCTGCCACCATGCGTTGCGATTCTAAACTATTATTTCGTTAGAACAACAATGGGGAAGAATCAAAATCTTGAACCCACGTTTTTTTTATAGTTTCACCATAGGGGTGTATAGTATAGTGATTGTTAAAAAAAGTTAACCATTTAAATTTGTATTATATTTTGTTAAAAACATTGTTATTAAATTTCATTTTTTATCTGGGTATTTTATTATTGTAAGGACTAAGTATGGATCGAGAATAAAAAACTAAAATGATTTCTCAAGTATTTAATTTGAGTTGTGAATAACAAACTATATATAATGATTCTGATGGTCCATTAAAAAAAATTGATAATTAAGATGTATACGTATATAACTCATTGTTTAGTCATTCAAAGAATCAAAGAAATTACTATTTTTCTCGATGGTAGAAAAGGTGACGAGCTCATAAATTTAAGTATTGTTCTATGAGAATATAATATATTTCCTATTTCGTGATTATAACTATTTGAACAATTTTTTTTACAAAACGCCAATAAGAAAGAGGTTTGGTATTAATTTTTCATCAAATAAAAGAAAGGTGTTATAGTAAACTAAAACGGAAATATACAAATGAAAATAAGTATTGGAATTTGACAAACACTCTTTGAAAATGAAAATAACTATCAAATAGCATGACTTATTTCTTTCATATATTTAATTATATCATCATTATTATTATACGACAAAATAAACTATTTTTAAATAAAAAATAATATTTATTATTTAAAATCTATTTCATGTAATTGCAAATCATTTTTTTTTATTTTATATCAATGTGTATATTATTGTATTAATTCGATCTCCCTGTATCTTTCATACACATTTATGGTTTTAATATGAACCGTTTATTTTTCTTTCGTGTACAGTAATTTGTAAATCCTAATTAAGCCTATAAAGATTGTAATATGCAAGAAGATGAATATATTTTTTTATAATTGAAATAAGCATCGTTAAATAATTAAAGAGGGAAAAAAATCATCATGATTTTATTGGTTTCTTTTTGTAGGTTGGAGTAGAGATGGCAACGGGGCGGATATTACAGGGGACCCCAATCCCCATCCCCATCCCCGAATCCTCACTCCAATCCTCATCCTCATCCCCATCCCCACCGAGGAATATAAATAAACCCTCATCCCCACCCCCCAACGGGGATTGGGGATCTCCAACGGGGAATCGGAGATTTCTTTTTCTCTTTTAATATGAAAAACTTTATATAAAGAAAACATCTAAATTTCACATTTACCAGCATAAGTTGAAAGATTTTACAAAATATATAAAAATATATATAGATTGCATAAAAAATATGAATAAATTTTCTACCATATTTAAATACATACATGAGAAATTAAGTAGAAAAAATTATCATAGTGATATTTGAGGTAAAATTGATGAACAAAATACAAAAAAATTATACATGAGTTTAAATAAGATAAAAGAAAAACAAAGTATAATTTCAACCAAGTAATTACTAATGAGTTAGGTTGCTTGAATAAAATTCTATGTATTGTAAAGTGTACTATAAATATATGTTTTGTATTACTTTTATATATTAATATATATCGGGGGCGGGTCCAGGGTCGGGGATTAGGGGTATCCCCATCCCCATCCCCTTCCTCACTTTTTTGTTCGGGGATTCCCCATCCTCGTCCCCATCCCCGGTCAACTTGGGGATTCCCCAGTCAAAACGGGTGCGAGGTTCGGGGTTCCCCATCGGGTATGGGGCTTTTTGCCATCCCTAGGTTGGAGTGTCACTTTCCCTTCTATACATTATCAGAAGCAAGGCGGTTTTATACGAGCATGCACATATAGAGCAAAATCAACTATGTTTAGATTCACATCTTCTTAATTAACCCATTTAGTTTCTCTTGGTTTGACACTTTTTCTAACATGATGCAGTGACGAGCAAAATCAACTGTGTTTGGTCAAACTAGTGCCAATAAATGTCTAAGTTCTGAAACTACATGTTCATTTAAGTTGTAAAGAATTTAGTGAAAGGATTTAGACACCAAGCCTAATTAATTCAGTCATTTGTTGAAATTGAAATAATCGTTTCCAAAATATTAGATTACATTCTTCCAAAAAATCATAGTCGTAACATTTTTTACTAAAAACTTTAAACAATTTTTAAAACATAAATTAATTTTATAAACTAATTGATATAAGGGTATCAACAATGCATTGAGTTTTATAAAGTTCAATAGATTGTCAGATCATCATTCTACATTTCATACGAGTCTATAAAATTTTTCCTACAATGAATTGAACTTTACAATGTTCAATGGAACATTTAAAAACTAATTTATAATATTTATTTAAGAATCAAGAACTTTTTTATCTATTGAAGAGTTCAAAAACTTCAAATCCGGTCAATGTCAAGATATCATCTTACAATTGTAGAGTTTCAACTATTGAATGACAATTAGACATATCAAATCATTCAACTTTTCGAATGAACTTTTGTAATGGTCCGATATATCATAATCTTAATTTTGAAATAAAAATTAATTGTATTCGAAATGACTGTGGATCGAAAAATGATATTTCTAAAACTTTATAAACGATTAGTTAGTAATTAGTAACGATATATACTTTTTTTTCTTAAAATTTAATTTATAAAAAATAAAGCATGTTTGGATTTTCCAAAACATGCCATCGTGAGGCGGGCTTCTCTGCGTATCCCAACTTTTTCTTTTCCAAAACATAGAGTAATTTATTGAAATCATACAATGGTTTAGGCAGATTATCCGTTTCATTTCAATTTTTAATGTTTTTTTTTTCTTTTTTCCTTTTTTTTATGGCACACTTTCTCCTTAGACAGTCGTCAATTTTGTCCATTAAGGACCCTCATATCCCTGGCACGCTTGGGATATTTTCGTCCAATTTTCATGACCGGTCAGATGGTCGGCAACAACCAATATAGACGATCGTTCAGGACCCATCTCTCACAAGGGCCCCATGTTACATACCTCTATTATCTAGTCAATGTTATTTTTCAAGAAAATAATTCATGAGGCCCAATCGTCAGATATTTTGTTGTACGACATGAATTTTGCTGCTTTGGAGAATTGGATTGTCAATACAAAGACCAATAACCGAAGAAGGAATGCCACATTGGAGCTCGAAAGTTGAAAATCAAAAAGAAAAAAAAATGAAAGCTACAATAACAATCGGAACTTGAAAATAAAAAAAAAAAAAAAAAAAAAAACGAAAGCGAGAAACAATCAGGGGCATAGCCAATATAGGGCAAGAGTGGGCCTTGGCCCTCCCACACAAAAGTAAGTTCGAGAAGCAATCAGGGGCATAGCCAATATAGGGCAAGAGTGGGCATTGACCCTCCCACACAAAAGTAAGGTCGAGAAACAATCAGGGGCATAGTCAATATAGGGCAAGAGTGGGCATTGGCCCTCCCACACAAAAGTAAGGTCGAGAAACAATCAGGGGCATAGTCAATATAGGGCAAGAGTGGGCATTGGCCCTCCCACACAAAAGTAAGGTTATATATATATATATATATATATATATATATATATATATATATATATATATATATATATATATATGGTACGTATAATATATATTTTTGTTAAATAAAAGGAATTAGGGTTGTGATATAGTCTATTACATTCAAAATTTAAAATTAGTTGAAGAGAATATATTGTTGTCTATGTCGATTAGACTCCATTTTAGATTATTTTAATGATATAAGACAACATCGTGTACAACTTAAAATAAACAATTCAGTTAAGAATGCATATATAGTTACATTTTGTTATGGTTTGAAGAATTTTGTCACTCGTTTATATTTCGTATATTATTTGGCCTACCCTAAAACAAAATCATGGCTACGCCACTGGAAACAGTATCAATTGGGAAATGATGATCTCCATATCACTCTATGGAAATCAAATCATCTCATTATCATGCTCAAAATTCCAACATATCGGTTTCATTAAAGTGAGGAATTCTATTTTATGTATTTTGTTTGTTTTATATCTCAATTGTTATTGTACATCCTACTCCTAATAAAAGACTTCGGTGTTGTTTATTTTTTATCTGTAGATCTTTTTGGCCTCTTCTGTCTGTAACGAAGGAGATTATGCTAGTTTCATTTGTGATGCTTATGGAGTCGATGGTTTAATTTCCCTATATGTGGACCATGATGGTCAAGGAATAGAGGACCGGTTTGAGATAGAAGAGAAAGAAGATGGTGACGATTCATGCATTGATGGTGGTGAAAATGAAGATGAAATTGATAACCATAGAGATGTGGAGGTAAACTTTAATGAGGATGTAGTCACTATAACAGAACAAAGGGTGATGAGTTTCTGTCTGAATTATGTTGTGAAGAGGAAGAAGGAAGTGCTAACAACATAGGCGATGATGTTAATGGGTGTGAAGATGAGGCAAATGTAACTCAAAAACATTCGATTTTTAACGAGTCAACTCCATGGAAAAAATAGTACCTGATACTTGGTATGAGATTCAAAGATCTAGCTCAATTAAAATCTATGTTATGTAAGTATGATGCACCTGGGAATGCAATAGCTAAAGCTCTTACTACAAGATTAAGTTAAAATATTGTTTTATGTCATATGAAGTCGGTATGTAGTATGAAATTATGTTTTTGGTGTACTTTAAATTGGATGTGATGTGAATGGACCCTGATGTTAATTATGGTTGTTTGTATGAAACTATGTTAGTTTATGGGATATGGAATGTGTATTAAGTAAGTTGGTTGTTATTTTGGTTATTTGCTGTGTTATTTGTAAGTTGCATGCATGGCAAGGACTTGTGTGGTTAAACTGCATGGCAAGGACATATATGTCCATATATGGCCAATTTTAAATTAGCACGGATTATGTCCTTATATACCAAGTGTGCTCCATATGTCATTCTTTTTGCATAAAAGGACCCCTGCATAGAAATCAATTCATTTTTAAATGGACCAAGTATGGTCTATATTCCCGACAATGTGGTTCCCACAATTCCATTTTAAAAGGAGCACATGCATATCATTAAGTACAGAAAGGTATATACCAAACTTGGATCTTTCATACCATTCATTGAATTTACAAATGTTCATACAATATTACCCATCTACTGCCATCCCAATACAATTGTTCCCGAATTTCCAAAAACTATATCTACCATACATTCCAAATACACACCTTGATCAAACAAGCATTCATCCAAAAACCTACCCATATATAACAACAGGGATCCAACCTTGAACCAGTTCTTCCAAAAACAAAACAACTTTCTACTTTCCTAGGCATCTACCCATGCACTATCCAAAAAAATGGTTGGGATTTTATACCATCAACCATAAATACCTTGTTTGATCAAGCACACTTTAAGGACACTTCAACCACATCCCAATGACTAAAACGAACAAAACAAAGATCGCACACTTAGCAGTTCCAAAGTAAGTCTTCATCACTGAGTTTTTCTTCATCAACTCCATCAATTGTCTCTCAAACACTTCCTTCTCTGCTTCCATAGCTTGTTGCAGCTGTATCACCTTCTTTTGAGCCTTCAAAACTACATTGAAGTCTTCCTTTTTGCGCACCTCAACTTACGAAGCTGCTGTTTGTAGTAGCCCTCCTCCATTGCATCGTCTTTCCACCAAAAAAAAACCTTACATTTTGGACCTTCAGCTGACTGATTAAAAGGGAAGACGACAATTAGGGTTATGATTAAGGAAAAGGTGTACATTTCCAGCTCAAGATACCAAATAGGGTGTAAGTAACAGAAGGAATACTCACCAAGGAGTTTTTGCAGTTCCAAAACCTTTGAGCTACGTTGTCGTCCGTCCAGGCAGTCCTTTCGACGCTTATTCCGTCTTTACAGTCACAAGGTGGACATGCTTCATCATCGCGATACTTTACGACACGCAGGAGGTTGATCGATCGACCGGAGGAGGCAGACATTGTTCTGGTTATATCGACTGAGTAGAGGTTATCGGAGTGACCTAATTTGGGGTAAGAATGTATCCTCTTTGGTTCGAATGAGGGTTCCATTTAAGGAAAGTTTCCATCGTATACAATGACATGGTCAAATGGTAGTCCACATAACCCAAAACACGTCAGCAGTGACCCGTAAACCGGATACATTTTCTCTCACTCCCTTAATTAGTCGGTATTTACTAACGTTAAGGACCAATTTGACAAAAATTCCCGTAAACCGGATACATTTTCTATATATTTAGTCATTTTTTTTGTTTATTGTTGTGATCAAAAAATTCCACTAAAGTCATTCAAATTTGACAATTTTTTCTATTATGACAATTTTAACCTTTTATAAGATGTCAAAGTCCACATAGAAAAAATTGTTAACATAGAGTCATAAATGGAAAATCGTTAACATAGAATCATAAATGGTGTTATCGATATATGTAACATACACGTTCAGTTATCGTGTTATGTAATTTTAAAATATTATATAATTATGAGTATTGAGTTCTAACAGATAGTTTTTACTATAAATGAAGTAAAACTATGTTTAGAATCAATCGGAAAATATTGGAAGTCTTATGAGATTCCAATTAAAAGATAAATATCGAAATTTAACGAAAATATAAAATTTGAAATAAGTAAAAATTTATTAATTAAATTTGTTGATAATTTTGTTAGAAACATTTAGGCGAAAACCTCATCGAAATCTGAGTTATAACGAAGAAGTTATGACCAATCGAAGATCCGCGACAAAACCGGCACGGCGCCGAATGACGTAAAAAGTGAGTTTTTGATAAACTACTTTTTAGCCTTGGTTATCTAAATGAAAGTCGTAGTATTTGTTAAACCGAGAATTTTGATAAAAAGAACGCCAAAATCTGACTTCATATGAGGAAGTTATGATTTTTCTAAGTTTCAGCTTAGCAGTAGAAAGCTAAAAACTCGAAATTTAGATCGAGTGATTTTTAGCCGACACAACCTAAACGAGAATTGAAGGTCTCGTCAATATTAGTACAACGGTAAAAAGACAGACGAAAACGGATGTCGGATGAAGAAGTTATGAATTTTTAACGGATTTACCAGTCCCGGTCTGTTAAAAATAATAATATTAAAAATAAAGTCAAAATTAGCCCACGAAGTCAAACGAAAGTTGTAGATTATATTCCCGCCTACGCATGCATATAAAGAACGTCAAAAACGGAGTTCGTATGCGAAAGTTATGAATTTTTAAAGATTTGGGTTCAATTTCCGAGGAATTTCGCATGGATAAGATCGGAACCGGCCACGTCATCAGATCCTAGCCGGCGACCCGAGTCCGATGAGTCATGCACGCCACGTATCCGAATACCCTCGCACATCCGACTTGTGTGCACCCCCGTGTCTGAAGCAGCTTAGTCACCCGGTGACGAGGCTCGTCCGAAGCCTAACGCGTGGCCTCGCATGCGAGACGTGTCCGAGCTTCGCTGCTGCCACCTGCCTTCGCTTCTGCTGCTGCCGCGTGTCCTCTTCGGGTCCGAGTTTCGGCCTATAAAAGGGAGGGCTGCGAGCCTTCCCGAGGAACTTTGGAAAATTGCCATTTTTGACCCCTAAATCAATATTTTCACTATTTCGACTTCCCCGGAAGCCCCGGAATCATTTCTAACACCTGAAACACGCCCCGAAGTGCCCGAAGAGCCCGAGAAATTTATCTTTTCGGTTTGAAGCCCAACCCTCACAGGGCCCGGTTTTCAATAAATCTCCCGGTTTTCAACGAAGGAAGTTATATTTAGAGCCGAAGTGCTGTCCAATTTACTATTTTAACCCCCGGTTAGTTCATGGTGAGTTTAATATATAGGAACAATTGTATGTTATGTGTTATATGTGCTATGTGCTTTTCAGTGTTATTATTTCGGGTTATTATCCCGTGTTATTTTTATTTCTGCTATTTATGATAGCAAAGCTATACCTTTGACCATGTGATCAGTGAAAGGACTTAGATTCACGGTGGTACTGGTACGTAGCCTCTGGCCATGTAGAGCATGTCTCCGTAAGAGAATGACTTCTATTCTATGGCATTGGCAGATGGTTAAACAGGGCTATAAGCCTGAAATCTACCGAAATGTTTAAATCAGAAAGTGTATGTCTTCTGTGCCATTTGGGCCGAAGCTTTATTGGTGTATATCAAGTATAGAAATTGTCATGTCTCATTGATCGTATATCTTTGAATCAAATCATTGATTGATATGGAAAGTTTTTCACATGATTCACATATGCATTTGTTGTTCCTTGTTCCTCTTTACTTCTGCCATATTGAATTATATATATGGCATAACGTTATATTGTATCTATTATTGAACTCACTAAGCGTCACCGCTTACCCCTCTCAGTGTTTAACAATTGCAGGAGATAAGTAACCAGTATGGTTATATACTGTCGGAAGATGTAGAATAGTTTTTACTATTACTTTTGTATTTCAGTTTATGTTTGTATAAAATTACAATATCCTGGGTAGTTATGTAAAATATTAAAACATAGTCGGTTTGTATCCAATCTTTTGTAATCACTTTATCAATGTAAGATATTGTTTTATAAATATGCATGTAGCATGTTTTGGAGTAACAATTGTCAAGTACGAAAGTTTGGTCTTTCAGAATTACGAAAGTTTAGAAAGGGGTTCTTTCAATATACTTTGATTCACAACGATTAAATCATAAATTTGAGAAAAAATATAATGGTTTTTATGCATATTGCCTTATATTTTATCATAATTATTTATATTGGGGCATACATATTGTGAGCTGCTATATTGGATAGTTCTTGGCAGGATAAGTCAAAGGATAAACCAAAGACCAACATGCGGAAAAATAAAGTGAAGGACATGAAAGCATAAAGTGATTATTGTTCGTATGTGCTTTTCATTTTATGGCTTTATAGATTTGGGTCTGAAAAACGTTTCCTGGAGTAGTTGTTGAGTATGGCAAATTTAATACATATGCCATCCCAGAGGAGCCCTTTTGTCTTGAGGGAGTTAGTATCTCATTTATCCATGTTTATGAAGTACTCTTAAGTTCAACTCAATATAATATACTATTAAACTTAGATTAATTACATTCCACTTTTTATCAGTAATTCTGTACACTACAACTCTTGAAAATCGAACTTAGTTGTATTCAATAAGTAATAGTACTATCATTGTTAGTGTAATTTATAAACTATAAAGCACTTGTTGTTACGCCGTAAATAGCAATTCTCCCTTTAACTGTTGGGAAAAATCTGTTAATGAGAAAAAAATGAGCTACAAAGCTGATTTTGCACTAAAAGATAAATAATTTCACAGCAACCAAGGCAAATAAAACAAACCAACCACAAAACATCAAACCAAGTCGAAATCACAAAGCTGTTTGTTTAAACACACCGAAAGCAAAAGTAAACATTAGACAAAGCAGCAGACACATCACACAAGTGAGTTGATTCATTTAAGCAGGGTCTTGACGATGGACTTAACATTGAGCTTTTTGAGGTCTGTATAAGACTGTCCACATCCTACAAACATCACAGGTGCTCCCGATATGTAAACCATCGATAGTGCAGCTCCAACCTAACAACAAAATCAACCAACTTACCCTTTTAATTTTTCATTTCAATAAAAAAAAAAATAGATTTCAAATATATGATGTTTATGTACCTTATCATCTATGGTATCAAACTTTGTAAGCAAGATCCCATCAATCAACCTGGGGGTAGGTGAGGGTGACAGGTCAGCTAGTTTATGATTAAACTTGGAGAGCTGATCCACCGCATCATTCCCCACCAGTGCTTCCCCCACAAAAAGCACCAAATCCGGACTGTTCACGTATATAAGCTTCGATAGTGCACGCATCAAAAGGTTCATTGTCCTGCAATTTCCAAATTTAATGTTAAATTACATCTTTAGTCCCTGAGCATACCCAACTTTTTCAATTTTGGTCCTTATTTTAGGTTTTTCTCTAATACCTACCTGCATTCGACCAGCTGTGTCAACAAGAACAACATCTGACCCATACCGGGGTAGCTTCTTGAATTGCTTCTTTAGCAACAATTGCAGGGTCTTTCTCGTACCCCTTTTCAAATATAGGGATCTGAAACCAAAATATACATACATATGCATTAAGAGGTGGAAATCAAAGAACATTATTAGAGGACAAAAAGGTCAATTTCAATTGCATACCTGGAGCCTACGGGCATGAGTGCGAAGCTGTTCAACTGCCCCTGAACGGAAAGTGTCACATGCAGCCATCATTACATTGATGTCATGCTGTTGAAGCCAGTAAGCCACCTACGTACACAACGTTTCACATATTATTTTTTTGTTTTTTATGCCAAGATTCAATTTTTAATCTTTTATTTTATACCTTGGCAAGATTGGTTGACTTTCCAACTCCGTTGACTCCAACAAACACCACAACATATGGTTTCCTTTGTTCCTTGGAAACATGAACATCCCTCAGAATGTCAATAGAACGCCTTGGAGTCAAGATACGAACAAGAGCATCTTCCATAGCAGCCTGCACTCGATATCAATTTCATATTTTTCATAAATCAAAACAACCATGAAATTTAAATACCCAAAATGACAAAAAAGGACAGAGTTGACTAACTCACCTGCACTGTTGATGATACCCTTGTAAAAGAAGCAAGCTTTTTCCCTACCAGGCTGAATGCTACAGACTCGCAAAGTTTCTCAGCAATCTCTTCAGCCTGTACTCCAAAAGGGTAGATTTGTAAATCATCAACTTCTTCATACTTTTATCCAAGAAAGTCAAGAAACTTGATATTGAGAATGAAAAAGCATACCACATTCTTGGTCATAAGCCTGTCTTTTAGAGCCTTCAAAGCTGGTTCAAGATCTGCCTTCTCCAAATTTGCCTTCCCAGCAATGCTGTATAAACAATATTTTTTTTATAAAAAAAATTAGAGAATGATTCTTTCTTTTTCAATTAAAAACTGTATGGTTAAAGTGGCTGAATGGGTAATGAGTAATGACAGCTAAATGGATAAACTGTTGTATACATAAGGAGTGTTTCCTTTCTACACTGCATAGACCATCTGAACGAGACTAAATGACCATTTTACCCTTACATTCCAAAAAAAAAAAAAAAAAAAACAAATTTCACAACATTCATCAAAAAGGGAAAATAGGTAAGAAGTGCTAAAAATGAAAAAATATGAGTTATAAACTAACCTTTGGAACATGGATGAAAACCATCCTTTCTTCTTTGAATCCACTTTCTTATCTGTCTCTGCTTCATCATCATCTTCTTCACTTTCACTGTCACTGCTGACAATCTCATCTTTGTCCATCATACTCTCACCTTCAACAACTTGTTGAACAGCCATGAAACTATCACCATTTTCACTTCCAGGATCTGTGAAATCCAACTTGGTTTCTTTGGGTGAATCATCCCAAACTCTATTCTTTTTTGCAGGTTTTTTCTTTGGTTCCTCTTTGGAAACCTTGTTAACAACAGGGTTATTAGCTTTCTTCCCACCTTTAGAACGAAGCTTCTGTAACTTATTTACATCAAACGCCCCTCCATTAGTATTACTATCACCATTTTCTTTACCATTGACTCTACCCCTACTCTCTACTTCCCCATTGGAATGACCATTTTCCATTGTAACAGTTTTTACATTATCGCCATCAGAACCATCTTTACCAGACTCCCCACCACCACTCTTTTTTTTATTACCTCCTTCAAATCCAGATTTTTGCATTTGCCCTTGCTTTTTCCCTAAATTACTTACTTGCTTACTCACCACCTGCTTTGATTTCTTCATCTCTTCAACACGTGCTTCTGCTTCCTTCCTGAGTTGTCTAAATGTTTCATCAAAATCATCATACGTTGTTCTTTTGGGATCATAGATTTCAGAGAACTCTCGTTTCACCATAGCAAGAAGGTCATCCACGTATAAAAGATGGAGAATCTTTTGATAAACAGCAACAAACACAAGGCCGAGCTCATTGTGGAATGTCCATTTGAGAGTATATGAAACCCCAGGTACATCATAGTTGTATGAAGCTGCACCAGATCGTTCCTCCAAAAGGCAGGATCGAATTAAGGTGTCAATTGGTGATCCTCTTAGAGCGTTTCCAAGCTCTTTACATGTCCAGAGGATCAACCCCCCTCTGGTGAAGATCAGTAACTGCTCTAACATTTCTTGCCCTACTTCTTATACCCTGCACATCACAAGAAAATTAATGTACATCCACGATAAATTAATCAAACATATCAAAAATATTGATTCTAATCTAATCAAATTGACATGTAAGGAGGTGTTTGGATCTGAGTCTAAAGTAATCATACATAGAAAACAAATTGCTTGTTATCAAATCAAACAGCCATGCAAAGGGATGTTTGGATGTGATCTGATGTACCTAAACTGATTGTTTTGTTCGGATTGATAAATTACAAATCAGATCAATACAAAACCCTAGAAATAGAGATCCAACCAAAATTTTGAATCTAGACGTCAGATCGGTTCCTCGTGTATCTCAACACACAATCTACAGATCGAAAATTTCAAACCTTGAACAAACTTAAAAGTTCAGAAGAAAAGGAATAAGAAATCGCGCGTTCATGCAATCGGATTCAAAATTGTGAACTGGAAGACTATCTAAAAATACTATCTAAAAATGAAAACCAAGAATTTTCGATTAACAATCAAAACTAAAAAAGGTGAAATTGAAGAGATGAGCGTACCTGTGTAAAGTGAGTATTCAACTTGGAAAATAAATTACGAAAACGAAAGAGGAAAATCGAATTGGGGAAAATTGGAAAAAGAAAAAAGACAAAATCTTGAAGAAAGGAAGCCGTGTGTTTGGTATATATAGTAGATCAGTCTCTTTCGACTTTCGAGGAAAGTTGACTCAAAGCTCCGCTGTTGTAGTACTCCTTTGGGTCATTTATGCCGGCCAAGGACAACACATGAGGGCTAATGCCGTGTTGTCGTATGCTTTTTTAATGGCACTTCGAAAATAATATAGACGTATATATTATCAATAGAATAATAGTTTATGTGCTAATTCCATAGGCCCAATTTATTTATTTTTGGTTATTCAATTGCCATTAATTCTGAACTTTTGTTTCGGTTTGCAACCTTTATCAGCTTGAAAAATAAAATAAAATAATTACCAAAGATAAGTTTCAAACTCGTGCTTACCGGATACAAGTTTAGCAGTAGTTGCCAACTTGCCATTTTCAGATTTTTCCTTTCCTCTATCTATAGAGACGACTAAAAAAACTAAAAGAGAAGGATAAGAACGCAAACCTCTCGAATATATGTGTTCATATTTCACCATTAAGGCAAGCAAATGCCTGATTTTATTATCCACCATTACAATGGCGGAGTCAAGATCAAAGTAACGGGGTCCCAATTTTTTTTAGGGTAACCCAATTTTTTTCCCGGGGTACTTGGGTTTCCCTCGTTCGGTTTCGGTTTTAAACCCAAATCTTAATCGAATCCTTAGCTAACCTCAAGTCTTGTTATATAAACATGAAGTTGAAGTATATTTTGATACTTGAATCGATGTGGGACTCAAAGTAGATATCAAATAAAGCATGAGAATAACAGTTGAAGTATATTTTGATACTTGAATCGATGTGGGACTCAAAGTAGATATCAAATAAAGCATGAGAATAACAGGTTTATATAATAGAAAAAAATGGTTGAGTTTACATGTGTTTAGCGATGTGGGATAGAATAGCTGGGAAAATAAAACAAAAGTAAACAAAGAATATGTAAGAAACAAGAATTGAACTTGAGACCTTTGCTTCAATAAGCCAACGCCTTAACCAGCAAACCAACTGTTTGTTTGTGTTTATAAGTGGAGGGATGCGTATATATACACTATACCGAAGTTTTTTTTTTGAGGGATACGTAAACAAAAATTACACTACCGAAAAAATTTGAGGGGTATCCCGGGCTACCCTAGGATCCCCTTGGATCCGCCCCTGTCACCATTAACTAATATATTTAAAAGTTACCATATCGTATATATATACATGTAAATATTATTATTTTTTTCATACAATACAAATATACAAATATGAATTTTCTTTTCGAACAAAATATATATATATATATATATATATATATATATATATATATATATATATATATATATATATATATATATTAATACATATTGTACGTATTTTTTGTATATAATGTATACATATGATTTTTTTTTCATACGGTACATATATACACTTAAATACTTCTTTTTGTACAATACATATACAACAAGACAATCTTTATTATTTTATGGGTTTTTGACATAAAAGCCCCTAATTTTACACAAAAAAATCGATTGTGCTTAAAGTCCATTTTTTGGTTCGTTAATACCCAAACATACCGGTTTTTTTGTGTAAATTGGGGGCTTTTATGTCAAAAACCCTTATTTTATTGTCTCTTGCTAATATATATATATATATATATATATATATATATATATATATATATATATATAATTCTATGCAGTTATCGCGGTCAAAAATATAATAGCGGTCACCGGCCGCTATTTAAAATAGCGGTTCTTGCGACGGTATAGTTGTGGTATAGCATTTTTATATTATGTAAAATTTATATATATTAGAGTATTAATTAGTAAATCATACTTCAAAGTTCAACTCAATCCAGTTAATTAGTAAATCATACTTCACATATCATATTTAGTTAATCATACTTCACATATCATATTTAGTTAACCATACTTCACATATCATAATTAGTTAATCATACTTCACAGACCGGTTACCAATGTCACAGTTAATCATATTTTAACACAATCAACAAGAAAACTGTAACGACCCCAAAATACGATAAAAATTTTCATTTTTTAAACAAGTACTACAAGTATAAAATTTGTTCCAAAACCATCATAATGTATAAAAATCACATCATCATAGTACAATATAAAAATGCGGAAATAACGGGAGAGAATGTTGTGTCATCACGTCGGGCCCTTCCCCTTAGTACCGAAAGTATCTGAAACCATAAACATAATTTGTAAGCAAACGCTTAGTAAGTTTTCCACAAAGTACGACATACCAACATACAAATTAATGTTATCGACCAAACCATAGTCTTACGTATAATTCTTGTCGAGGGCCAAATCCCGGTCTTCCATACAATTGCCAGGGGCCAAATCCTGGTCTTTCATGCAACTGTCAGGGGCCAGATCTTGGTCTTTTATACGGGTGTCAGGGGCCAAACCCACACATATCACACAAGTGATCCGTATCCTATAAAACAAATAATGTGTCGGACTTGGTGCCTTCGACCCATTGATACAGTAAGAAAACTCACATCGGTCTGCTGGAAGCAACAAGATGCTTGGCTGCTAAACAGGAAGATCCCACACTACACAAACAATTAGCCACAATCAGAATTAGGGCACAATCCTAAATCATGGGCCTAAGCCCTAAGTCCAAACTCCTAAAATAAGGGCTCAAATGCTTTTTCCCTTAATGGGCCTAACCATTCCTGGCCCACATGCATTAACGGGCTCCAAGGCCCAACTACATCACTTAAGGCCCATTAGCAAAACTCAAAGTCTCACCTACTCTAAATAGATCAAGGTCCAAAACCAAATTGGGCTTAATGACCCAAAAGTCCAATAAAAGTCCAAAAGCCCACTGGGGCGTACGCGCGGCATAATTCCCTGTTCGCTCGGCGTACTCGAGCGCCATGCAGCATGCGTTGTGTACGTCCTAGTACGCTCAGCGTACTGCATTGTTCGGCACCTTAAGCTATTTGGTGCTTAATCCATGCAGCCACTTACTCCAACCTCCAGATCTCGGTTATTAGAGGGGTCCTATGGGACAAAGTTGGCAACTTTATGCCTTAACATGTCTTATGGGAGTCCAACATCCATATTTGTTCATCAAAACTCACATTAAGGACCTAGATTTATGCATGGCTTCATAAAATCCTCCAAGATGATATTTTTATGACTATAACACATCATAGGGATTGAGATCTAGCATTTCTAGCTTCTGGAGTTGCCCAAACTCACAAAAGAGAATCCATGGACCCAAAAGAGCTCATAAAATAACCCTAACTACAATTAACAAAAGGATCAACAAGGTATGAAGTTTTTACCTCCAAAAGCTTCCTAAGATGATGTGGATTCGGGATCTTGAAGCTCAACCACATCCAAAGCTTGCTCACCGACTTCTTCTTCTTGCAAACACACCAAAAAGGCCACTAAAGTCACTTTTAAGCTCAATGATCACTCTCAATGGCAACTAGGGTTTTAGGGACGTTCAAAGGCAGTGGAGGCTGATAAGGGTGAGGGTCCAAGAGTCATAAGTGTGCTTAAATAGGGCTCATGCCCTAAAATTAGGGTTTTATCTTTTGTCTACGTATGCTTCGTACACCCCGCGTATGTGGCTCATGTGCCCGATCGAACACGCCCATGTATGCTAAGCATACATATACGTACGCCCAGCGTACGGAGGGAACTCATTGCAATTATGATTTTATTGCAAGGACTTAAAAGGGAGTACTTGGATTTGGGTGTTACAACTCTTCCCCACTTGAATTAGACTTCATCCTTGAAGTCTGCTGCCGAAAACAAATATGGGTAGTGTTCCCTCATTTCGTCATCTGGCTCCCACATCCACTCAAAGCCCTTTCGGTGCTGCCATTGCACCTTCACCAGATTCACCACCTTGTTACGAAGAGTTTTAGTTTTCTTGTCGAGAATCCCAATGGGCTTCTCCACATAATTTATGCGCTCATCTACCTGAATATAATCTAACAAGATCACTGCAGAATCATCGGCTACACATTTCCGCAACTGAGATACATGGAAAGTGTTATGGATCTGACTGAGCTCGTCAGGAAGATCCAACCGGTATGCAACCCTGCCAACACGAGCAAAAATCCTGAATGGACCAATAAATCGGGGACCCAGCTTGCCCCTATTTCGAAATCAGATGACACCTTTCCAAGGTGACACCTTCAGCAACACAAAGTCCCCCACCTGAAACTCAAGATCCGAACGGCGTCGGTCAGCATAACTCTTCTGATGACTTTGCGCGACCCGCAACCTGTCGCGCACCTGCTAAATCAACTCAGTGGTCTTAAGCACCATCTCGGTGCTTCCTATGACTTGATGTCCGACCTCTCCCCAACAAACCAGGGTCCTACACCTCCTTCTATACAACATCTCGAATGGTGATTGATCAATCTAGCATGATAATTATTGTTGTAGGAGAACTCTGCAACGGAAGGTAAGAATCCCAACTCCCTCCAAAATCCAGCACTCAAGCCCGAAGCATATCCTCGAGCGTCTGGATCGTCCGCTCGCTCTGACCGTCGGTCTAGGGGTGGTATGTTGTATTGAAATGTAGCTAAGTTCCCAACTCCTCATGAAACTTCCTCCAATATCAGGAGGTGAAACGGACATCTCGATCCGAGACCACTGACACATGCACCCTATGCCTAACTACCACCTCTCGGACATAAATATCAGCTAGATTCTCTGGGGATACACTCTTGGAAATCGGGATAAAATGTGCACTCTTGGTCAACCTGTCCATAATGACCCAAATAGAATCAACACCCCACGCCGTCCTTGTAACATCCCAAAAATCATGACCAAAATTTTTCATTTTAAATATAATAATTATAAAACCATTTGTCTGAAAACAACCATAGTATCAATTCATATCAAAACCAGAGTATCAATAGTTAAATCATATCATGATAAAACAATGTCAGTGTAGCACCTGGTTCCTGGTACGTATTTCATTTATGTAATTTTACATTTTTGGCCTGGGACTCGGCGAGTTGATGGCCCAACTCGCCGAGTAGAAGCGGGATAGAACGTGGGGTTTAAGTATGGGGCTCGTCGAGTCGGATCCTGGACTCGACGAGTAGGCTCTGTCTGGACAAAAACCCTAATCTAAGGGTTTGCACCCTATTTAATCATCTCATTCCG